GTCGTCGTCGTCGTCGTCGTCGTTCGTCATCGATAGAGATAACAGCGATAACTCACGATTTAGCGACGCGCCGCCGGCAAGCTAATAAATTTCTATGCAGCTAGATCGAAAAGAGCCGCGGCGCCGGTAAAAGATGGAAAAATTATTATTATCCTTTGATATATATTTCCCCTCTTGCATTGAATAGAGGCAAAGTCATAATCCGATATCGTATTTTACGGAGGTACATTTTATTTATTCCTCGTGAACCTTCATCGCTTTTACGGCTTCTACGTATCGCGCATCTACATTATTTGACGCGATACGCGTGTTGTTAAAATAAACATTTTTCATACGTTGCATCCGGATTTACTGTCGCCAATAAAAAAAATGCATGCGGGCGATGAAAGTTTTCCAAGTCTCGCATTTACGAGATCATTTGAATAAACCGAATTTATGCAGTGTAATTTCTATGCATTTTGTGTGTTCGATCGAGCACCGACGTCCGAAATTGAAAATGCGCGAGCTCAGGTGCGCACCCTCGTAAATAATCTTCATGCCATCTGTCTTAATAGGTGGCCTGGCTGGCTTTACTGCTGGTGGAGGAACGAACGAATGCGGAGATATGTTTGTATGTGTGTATGTGTGTGCATGTGCGTGTGTATTTGTGCGCAGCTTGAATAAATAAACAATCTGGCGCTCCGGCTGCATTTAATATTCCGCGAGGTAACGTACATATGCGACGAACTCGAGACCAAATGTCACGGTTTCGGACATACGTGTCACATGGAAAATGGAAAATCGTATAAATAAATATAAATGCATCATTGATTCGCACCCATAGCCGATCCGCGTGACGTTTCGACGTCCGAGTTTATATTGCGCAAACTTTTTCCGAAGTAGGATAAATGTGAACCCAGATGGAGAAATGTATGAATTATGGCGAAACCTACCATAGCATGAATTCTAACCTAATAAAGACAAATAGCGTATTTTTTTTTAAATTATATCAAGTCAAACCGGTCGATCGATCATAAATGCTAAAAAACAATTTTGTTAAACGATTTCTCTCAATTCGTTGAGAGAATAATCATATTTTATTGTTTATTATAATTTTTAATGTGAGATTTTACTTCCTTTTTAACCCTTTGGCAGCAGTATTAGATTTTAGGAGCACAGTTTTTGATTGCGAATTTTGGTAGGTAAATCTGTAAAAAAATACACGGAAAATAAATGTTTCTGGCTACAGCTAGTTCTGATTAGCTGAAATTGCATTAGCTATAGCTATGAAATTTGCTAATACATACAAAGGATTTGCTGCTGTAGCTAATATACGTGATAGCAAAATATGCATGTCTGTTACAGATCGATTTATTTAACAACATGAAGTTAGTTGTCATAGTTATCGGATATGTCCGTGTAGAAGAAAATTGTCTCTACCACAGCTAAATATGGTTTGCTGAAACTGTACTTGCTACCAAATTGTCTGTTACACAGAAAACGTTTGCTACAATGATCAATACATCGACATAATAGCAAAACGCTTGTCTGTTACAATGATAATATTTAGACCTCATACTAATGGAAATTAGACCTCGTAGATACGACGTTAGATGTCCATATAATACTACTGAATTTAGCTGCCATACCTAATTTTTAGCTGTGACAGCTAGTCTTTTTTTTTAAATAAAATACAATTCAATGTCTATTATAAAAATTCATTATTAAAGTTTTCGCAAGTATAGTGTAAGAATTTTTTTAAATTTTTATACAGAACAATATAAAACTCTGCATTAAAGTTCGAAGGTTGCGAACAAAAAGAAAATTTCACGTTGTCGACGGAGGATTAAATGAATGATAATTAGTACAACTTACTAATTTGTAAAAGCAGAGCTATGTTCTGGATTAATGAGTTTTCTATAATAAGCTATTACCTAAGCTATTACCTAAGTCTTAAGCCGTAAGAAGTTGATTAATCTGAATCGAATATGAGAAGAATAATTGACTATGATTAGCCAATTTTTTACGGCTTAAAATTTAAAGCTTAGGTAATGGCTCATATTGTAGAATTCCCATAAGATTTTAAATGGACGAAAGTGTATTTCGGAATGTCTCTCTGGATGATACAAACAGATGATTTATTGTTTGTCATGAAAAGCAGAAAGAGTTCTCGTTTAAAGCCAGTCCTGGCAGAAAAATGACAGGGGTGACACTTTGTGAATATCACATGAAATCTACCTTCGGGAATGTATTCACAGACTCAGGTCGGTTTCATAGCGTTTACAAATTTTAAGTGCTGTCCTCGACTTTTTAACGCCTTTACGATCACGTGAGGGATTTCCGTTTTTTCTACCGTCAGAAGTACATGATCATTAACGGCATGAGGTATGTACCTATATTTTTGCTATTTAGGATTTGTTTACAGCGACAGATTACAAAAAGACTACGTTGCTCCGCTTTATTAAATCAAGTTGGATGACTTTTGGCGTTTTTTTTAAATAGAGAATGAAATGATACAAGACTCGTTTGGACCTCGGTACGTAGATTAGATGCACTAACGAATAATAACTGAATCTATATACAATAATAAGATTGAAAGACCGCTAATGTTAAACATAATGCTTTAAATTAAGAAGCGCCATAACGGTCAGAATCATTTAAATGAATGCACAATAGTTCAACATCTTAACGTTCTGATCGTTATGGCGCTTCTTAATTTAAAGCATTATGAATCTATATAGGTATCTATATAGAAAGTAATCTTTAATTAATATATAACCACAAATTACATTTAATTAATTAAAAAATGAAGTATCTGCGAATATCTTGGAATGAGAATGCAAATTTATTTGAAGTGCTCGAATAACGTAACTAATCGAGCGCGTTCGCGACTAGTGCCATACGATTATGTAGTGCATGTTCGTGTACACGGCAGAGCGCACACATACGGCGAGCCAGAGAAAGTACAAGACGAAAGGAGCGAGAAAGATCGGAGGGGGTACGACGCTTTCCAATAATTTCTGCGCTTTGTTGTAAATTCCCCCCGCTAATTCGTGGTATTTTCTCGCTGTATTTTATGAGCGGCTACCGGCTTTGCCTCGCAAATTGTTTCCAGGAATTCTCCGTACGCTGTTAAATTACTGTACTTTCACATAATATGTGTGGTGGATTTTAGCTCGGTGCAGCGTGCCGTGCCGCGCCGCACTTCAACCTGGAGTCTATCCTTCTCATTGGAATTTTGCGTTGCGCTTGGTTCCCGGGGAGAATTTTATTTTTTAAGCTAATCTCTTTTTATTACGTACAAAATAGTATTTTAACTTTTCGCCCCCGTGGCTTTTTACTCCGTAAATTGATGAAACGACGTTTGCTAGAGACGAATTCTCTTTCTGTTTCAGGCGATCGCGACGCTACCAAAACGACTTCTGGTGAGTAAGCGAAATTATATTTATTATAATTTTTCTCTTCTCATTTTTCAACATTACGATAGCGTTCAATTGCTGCGATCGAAATTATATCGTTAAGATATACGACGTATATGTGGTGTGGGTTATTTAACGATATATCCTTCGTCGACATCGTAAAAACATACAGTTTAAATGAAGAAAATGAAATTAATGTATCCCGATACACGTGTATTTGACTCGTCTCCAAGTGAAAGAAACGTCCGAATAGAAATATGTATTTCCAAAACCGGTCGTCATTTAAAAATTTACGACTTTGATGGACTGGCGTTGGAGACACGTAAAAGCGAAATGCTTCAAGCGATATAACGCCACCGAATCGATTGCCGCCGAATTTCCATATACTATTTCTAATTTCACATAAAATTCACCAACATCATAAATAAATACCATAAAAAATGAATCTTGTTCCGATATGATATTTCCGAAGCTGTTTGGATTTTTGATAGTCCATTAATGATTATGTCGCATCTAAAAGTATTTAAGGAGTACTTATAAGATGGCTGTAAATCGTTATCATCCTTTTTTTAGTAAAATCGGAAATATATAACAACGGAAAGAAAATATTTAACGTTGAAATTAGGAGTTATTATCGATAAATGAGTTATAATAAAAAGCTGTAGATCAATCATTGAATTGGAGTCCAATTAGCAAAAAAACGTTTTACTATCAATGTGAAAACTGAAGCCGATGGATAAAGAGTGATATGTGTGAGCGTGCTCGACGGACTTTAACTACCCGGAGAAGAACGAGAGAACCGCCATTAGTTCAAAAGTTTTCTCAACAGTCTGTCAGTCTGTTTTCGTCGACGCGCTTCATCTTATTCCGGTGAGCGTGCACGACTATTGTCTTCCGCCGGATTTTCGTCGGCACGAAACTTTTGGAGGACTCAACGAATCACCACCAGGTTGTCGTCGATGGAGATCGATGATCGGAGGTCGCTTTTTCGATTTTCTCCCTGATAAATAAGAAGAAATTTTTACGTGAACAAAGTGGGAATAGGTCATAATATTATTTTCATCGATTGTATGCTCGACGATACACTGAAAATAATACTAAATTTGAATAAATATTTGTTTGAATAATTTTAAGTAAATATTTACTGAACGTAAACATATTTTTAACCGTAAATATATTTATATTTTTACAAAAATCATTAATTTTATTTAACTATCGTTTTTCATTGAGTAAATATTTGTTTATTGTAAGTAAATGTTTACTTACTACATGTTTAAAGAAATATGTATTAAGATTTAGTAAATTTTTTCAGCTTAATGTTACTTTTTTAAACTTTTTGCGAGGGATTTAGTAATCAAGATAGTGCACTTTTTTCTTAGAGCGAAAACATAAAAAAAGTTGTACTATTAAAATTAATAGAGAAATTTTGTACTTTCCATTCTAGGGAAAAAAGTTACATGATTAGAACTGAAGTATATTTATAACTAGTTAAAAATACTCTATTCAAATTCAATCAATTTTTTATTATGGAAAGTGTCGAAATCGCACGCTTTACGGATCGCTTAATTACACTTCTTTATCACTTTGAACCATCTGAACAGTAATTACTTGTCCTGATTTACAGTAAATTACCTTCGTGTTTTAATATATGACAGTAAAATCATTTATGATCAAGGCGATGAAATTGATTTGATATAATTTTCTTAATTCCTTGATAACGCCAGGATTAAAGTTATAAATGTTTATGACATGTCTTCTTATATGTCAGCTTGAAACAAGGCAGCTTTCGCGAAACGTGAATGCATCTTAATACATTCCACAGTGAGCACCAACGGTGCCATCGGCGGCAACGGTATAAAGCCGGTGTTAATATTTGATTTGCCGGTTGCTGGGCGGCGATGCGCATGCCCGGCGTATCTTTGACACCCTCTTTGCGTTCCACCCCCTTAAATCTCGCTACCCTTATCCATCCCCTCGTCCTCTCCTCCTCCTCCTCTGCGGAGAAACTCCTATTTACCTATCTGTCGCCGCTCTCAATAGACGGGATTTAATACCGGGCGGTTGCCACGCGGTAAACTTGTGCCTTATGTCTCGCGGATAAGAATTATCGTTCGAGCGATCTGGTTTTGCGGCCGACGAGTTCAATGATCCCTCGCACAACAACTCGCGCGATGGTACGATATTTTATTTCGGATAATTTTGGCCGGTGTTGCTAACGTCTGACGGTCGATATACCGCGATAATTTTGATGTAGTCGCAAGAGAGAGAGAGAGAGAGAGAGAGAGAGAGAGAGAGAGAGAGAGAGAGAGTTGAGAGAGCGTACAGTGACGACTCGGAAATTGTCGATCGGACTTTACGATGAACTTGCTATTCCCGTCCATCCTGCCCTTCGTTGTAGCGCAGCGCCAACTTCCATGGAGGGAGGTTAAATGGTAGTTCGCGTCGAAACTTTTTTCCCCTACATTTATAAAACTCGAGTATCGATTAACCTTTGTGAGTGACGTGGCGAATTTACCAATCGTGCTTCTTTTTTTAACGGAGATTTATTAATATCATCCTCTTATGTGGCAGAAAATGGTCTATAGACTGCAATCAAGCATAACTTTGTTTTTGCCTACTTGCTCGACACTTTTCCATATAAAATGCATCGTGATGCATCTGTTGTACCACGTCGGTCACTAACGTGTCATTGCGCGTCTCCTCGCGTGTTAATATTTAATACGTCGTATAACGTTGTTAAAACAGGAAGTCTGACGGGGCTAAGCTAGGCATTTCAATGCATAAATTTAAATCCTTTGAAATTCGAGTCTCTGCTTACTAAAAAAAATATCTAAATTTTACATGAGTTACTCTCTTATACAGCGCTGCTCATTAAGAGAACATTGAATAATTTTTACAGCATACATTATAACAGAACATATTCGCATTTAGACGAAATTTTTCACAAGGAAGCGTTGAGAATTTTTTCATTGTATTTGCCTACAGACATAATAAGTTTAGACTGCGCATTTCCTGATCTTAGTATCTATGCTCTGTTAGAAAGAATTAAATTATATCGGTACCTTTTTCAATTCTACCAGCATCTCTCTTCAATTTGGATTATAAAATATTTTAGAGAGAAAGAAAGAGCGATATGATTCAAGTTACCTCACTTTTTTTGAAGAGAGTGACAACTTCATAGGAAGGCGCAGTCTATTTTTATTACGTCTATGTATAGGCCTACCCTCAAAAAAGTGATCTTGCAGTTACAGCGAAAATTATCTAAGTACGAAAAATAGCTGGAATAGATCAATTTCCAGCAGGTACTGCGATATTGGATATGTATTGCATCTAATCATATAGATGACAGAGATAGAATTTAGATTTGTGCTATAAATTCTATGCGTATGATATATAATTTTCTATCAGATACAAAAAACAGCTATAATTCTAGCTGGAGCAGCAAAATATTTTTTTGCGTGTAGCATATCTAAAAGATTTAAATGTCACGAGCATTTAAATGTATTGCCTCACTCTCTAGTAGAAAAACAAACATTTCCGTTCGTCGAAAAAATTATTTTAACGATTATTCCGTTAACGCTGTCTCTGAGAAACGCTGTACAAAAGCAGATGGTCGCGGAGGGATTTCGTAACGTAGAGACAGAAAACCACCGAGTCCCAAAAATAGACGACTTTGCGGGCGTGCGCACGTCCTCGCTTTATACGAGGAAACGAGAGGCCTGTCAGCTGATTGGACGAGTGCCAATTTTTGGTGAATGAACCAACGGTCTCGTGTCTCGAATACACACCCTCTTTGGTAGTTTGTCCTCGACACGGCTCGCGTCCGGTCGCGAAAGATATGAGATCTTTTTTTTATCAACCTATGGAAATGTGATACTTAAGATCAATTCTGATACTTAAAAGAGATGTAACATCTTGATTCACGTAATTGAACTTGAATGCAGACTTGAACATTACGCGTTCGTTATTCACGCAATTCAGATACTGAAGCGGATATTTTTATAATCGATAATAGTCACAAAATTATTAAAGGAGTGATATCTATTTAACATGTATTATGAAATCATTAAGAGCACAGTTTTGCTAAAGTACATAAAAATTTAGCTTATACAAAATAATTTTGTTGGGCTTAACTAGTTATATAGGATGTTTATTGATTGCTGGAATGTCTGAGCTTTTTGGAGCATTGCTCTCATCATGTTTGAATTCCCTATAATTATTTTGATAGTCCAAAAAAATTATTTTCAAATCTGTATCTATTAGAATTTTTAGATACTGTAAAATCGTTCTTTTCGTGAGATAAATAACGCAGTTATAACATGTCGAAAAACTATTTGGATATCAGAATTCGTAGCAGAATTACCTTGACCAACTCGACGTCAAGTCCTTCAACGAGTTGACTCGTCCTATCGAGTTAAAGGATTAACGCTTATGTCCCCGAGAGGCGTGCCCATTACCGCCAGAAGCGGCTTTGATATGCTAATAAAGAACCAGTAACGCGATCTCGATGTCAGGATATTGTCGCCCGATGAAGGCGTTAGAGACACAGGACCCGAAAGAACAACCGTGCATGTGACATGTGCGTAAAAGCCAACAACAGGCTTAGGCCCCGGGCCTCCGATTCCCCTGGGAAGATAATGAAATTTCACATGTGCGAGAATCAAAAATCATCTCCTTTGTGCGTCAGGAACCGAGGTCGCTTAACGGAACACCCGGGAGGATCGCTGCCGATAGAATCTCACGGGTCAACTCGACACTGCAGAATACTGCGAGGGCTTTTCTGCAACGGACGTAAAAGAGTCGTGCATGCAAATTGCAAATGGCCGAATAAAAACATACGTTTGCGCATACGTAATATTCTTGCAGCGTAATATTCTTTCCTAGAAGAAGATTAGCGTGTTGCATTAAGAAAATAAAGGTACAAAAGCGTTGCGTTAGGAAAATAGAGGTATTAACTCGACAGATTTTACAGCGAAGCGACGTGAAAATTTTCGTTGCAAACGAGA